CTTACGAAAACTCTATCTGTTACTTTCAGTAATTAATCTCTGTAGAGGTTCGGTAGATTTGACTGATCTCGCAACCACCATAAAAAATTAGGAAATAAATATAAATTAGCCTCTTTCATTCTAGAATGAACACAAAAACATAAATGTTTTGACTAAATAGCTTAAATCTCATAACATTATACATTTATATATATTTATTATTTTTATTATATTGACTTTTCAGCTGTGCCTGGCTAGTAATACAAAAATTATAATGACGCAGCTCACATGCATTCATGTTACCATATCAAATAACATAAAACTGACCTTTGGTCTGTGCAAAGTTACTTGTCTTGGCTGTGTTTTAATAGACTAGTATTTTGTAAAATACAGTTAAGTTTCATTTATTATACATTATATATGTATATAGATTATTGGTCTTTTGAAACAAGTTCTTAAACTTATTTTTCTTAAAATATAGAACAGTATATAAAGAAGTAAAGCAAACAATTATCTCTTCTAGTTACAACCTTTGTACTCAGTTCCTGCTTGATGTCGATTGCTAAGCCTTTTAAAAAATTGCAGATGGAGGATATGAAACAAAATTATTTTTTTTAGGTTTTATATATACATTTGAATAACTAAAAAATCATACATTACTATATTCATACCACAGAATTCTACTATAATTTACTTAGCTTAATAACTAAGATGTATTTTAGTCTAAAAAAATATGAAATTTCAAGCAGACTAAAGACACACCCTACCTCGTTGAAATATTGGTTCAAAAGAAAGAAATAGCACCTAGTCTGTTAAAATGGCTGAGAAAGCCACTAGGGGTCATTCTGAGCTTCCGAATGGTTATTCATGTCATATATAGAAGTAAGAATATAAGGGAATGCTTCCAAAAATGGAAAGAGATGGGTGGGGTGCCACTGTGTTTGATTTATTAAATGAGCAATATCTTAGCAAATTGAAAGGAAAAGAGGCTCTCAATTTTATATTCTAGCTTGTCAATATTGGTAATTTGAGTTTCTAGTTTGTTCGAAACTATAGACTTAGTATTTTGACTTCACAAATAACAAGTGAATATGTTTCTTTTTTATGAATAAAACCATTTTAATTCAAATTTTATTTCTTATAATATAAAGTAAAACTAGGTTATATATATATATGATCCCACTTACAACAAGTGCTAAAATAGATAACTAGTATTTATGATTTAACAAGCTATTTTGTGTACACTACCTTGTGACTTAGACCAAGTAAAAACAATAAATGCTTAGCTCCCCATCCACTTCCTTACTTTCAACCTTCTCTCCCATTTTTTTTTTCCTTTTTTGAGTTCTTGTTTTTCAATAATACAAAGAAACAAATACTTCTGAATAAAAAATGATATGAACATAGTTGATTCACTTTTCCTTTTTTGTCATAAATTCTGTATCATTTTGAGGGAAAAAAATGAAACAAAGAAGATTTCTGTTTGAGTGGACCCTTTGAAAACAATCAACAATCATGTAAAAAAAATGGTGCAAACTTTCTCTAGAGAGGTCATTTGAAAAAAAAGGACCTCCTCCTTCCTTTTTTTGAAAACTCCAAATGCTAAAAACATGTTTCTTTTTTTTACTTGGCCTTGTATCATTTTTTAATTCATCTTTTTCATACTTCATGATAAATTAGTATTAACTTACAATAAAAGCCAGCTAATCAGAACAAAATCAAAATAGACCAGGTAATGACTATAGCTAATTAGATATACTGTTCTTACATTCTTACTTATAACAATGAGAATTCATTGTTCCATCAGTTGGGTAACCTTTCTGATAATATTTTATGTCATAAACACAATAATATTTCAAAAAATTCAGTGAAACTGTTAAAAGTTTAAGGTTAGACCTAAATCTATATACTAAGCTAACAATTCAAAATAATCTCTATAACAAAAGTATAATAATAAAAAGAAGAAATAACAAACTACACATAATAATTATTCTTATCAATAAGTAATGAAAATAATGGAAAAACTGAGTATACCTTACTTACAGTACACAAACATTTGTTGTTTGCCTCAGGCTCAAGTACTGTTGTAACTTATAGGTTGTTTGTTGAACAATGTTTGTAATTATGTGCTAGCCATCCCTAATTTAGCAGTGTAAGACTAGAAGGAAGGCAGCTAGTCATCACCACCCACAGTTAACTCTTGGGCTACTCTTTTACCAACAAATTGTGGGATTGACCATCACATTATAACACTCCCACAGCCAAAAGGGCAAGCATGTTTGGTGGGATGGGGATTTGAACCAGAGACCCGCAAATTGCAAGTCAAGCTCCCTAAACACCTGGCCATGCCAGGCTGTTGAACAATGTAACACATCAAAATAATTTATAATAAATAAATGTGTATAAGAAAATCTTTACACAATCCTCCCAAACAATGTCCGAGGTAAAATTAAAACTATCATAATTACATAAGACAACTAATAGTAATAAAAATAAAAGTTCAAACAGAAAAATACTTGAAATTTATACATACAAGTTTTATTTTCTTATTTAAATAAACTATAGTTGCTTCAGGACTTATTTCAGGATAACTAATTGTTGATTTTCAGTAATTTCTCATTATTTTCATGTACAGTGTTATGATCTCAAAAATTCTTGGGTGTAAACACTGATTCATATTCGTTAAGTCTTATTCTTAATCTAGTCTTAGCTTAGTAGTAATAGTAGTACTGAGTACCGACATAGTGACAGTAATTTACTGTGTATAATAAATAAGGCAAAAAAAAAACAGTCTTGGCCCATAGACTGACAATCCCAGTAACCTTAGGTAATATACGTATAAATATATACTTACGCAGTGTTTTTCTTTCAGATTGAGTTCTTTTCGCTTATACTCAGCTACCTGTCAAACTTTAATTATAACTTAATTGTTCTCTTTACTCACGTCCTCCACCCTCTCTCTTACCCTACACAACAGTCAAAAGCAATTCTTTGGAGAAAAAAAAAAACCTTTGATAGCATTTTTTGTTGTGCGTTTGCGCAGTACCACATTGGATTACTCTATATAGTTTTACTGTATAAATAACGTGTTAAAGAAGAAAAAATACAAAAACATTTATACTGTAAGTATTATCATGAGATAGTAAACTATAAAGACTGAGGAAACACAATGAAATTACCATTCTGTATTTAAAAATATATATATATATAGTTCTAATATAATTTTTGTAATAAGTATTTGAAAAAAGTAGAGTTATAGTTGATCTGATTGAGACGTTTAAAATTGCTAATGGAATTGAAAGTTTTGATACGTAATTTATTTTTCGTATTTAATAGTGAGAATGGCAAAACTAGAGGACACAAATATAAGTTTTTCAGGGTAGAAGATATCTTCAGCTTTATTTATCTCACAGGGTGGTTGGCCTTTGGAACGGGTTGCTTTCCGATGTGGTGGATGCAGTTAATTTAAGGGAAAGCTTCATATACATCTGAATGATAAAAGCCCCCAGTGGCACAGCGGTGTGTCTGCGGACTTACAACACTAGAATCCGGGTTTTGATACCCGTGGTGAGCAGAGCACAGATAGCCCATTGTGTGACTTTGTGCTTAATTACAAACAAAACAAAAGAATGATATAACTGACTTCGAGCTTTTTGGTGTTTAGTTTAATTTACTGGATAATGTGGCCTAGATGAACCAAAAAGTTCCTCCTTTAATATTGTTACGACAGCGTAGGTCACGTGACGCTTGTATCACGCCACTTCCCTCTCGCACCTTCATGAAATGTCGGGAGACTACTAGATTGGGGTAGTCTTGTATATATAAGACCGGCCAAGAAACAATGCGTGAGGTAATGAGTAATTGAATGTATGCGGACAGAATATTGTTGAGCACGTGAGACGTTCGTTGTGAGTTATAGCTTTTGTTATAGAGCGACTTTTGAAATTAAGTGTATCGTAAAGTTGTATTCGGAAAGAATAAACCAGTTTTATTTAAGAAAGGACTTGTATCGGTAAAGTTTCTTCGGTAAGAGTTTTAACGGAAAATTAACTGACGAACGGAGACGTAACAAACTGGTGTCAGAGAGTGGAGGGAAAATGGAAACGAAGGCGGAAAATCAAACTACAGCTTAGCAGACTTAATGGTAGTAATACAAGAGCAGCAAAAGAAACAAGAAGAACGAGAAGAGAAATTACAGCAGTGGTTGGAGGAAAAAGAAAAGAAACAAGAAGAGAAATTACAGTATTTATTGGAGGAAAAAGAAAGGAAACAAAAAGAACGAGGAAAGAAACAAGAAGAGAGACAACAGCAGTTGCAAGAAAACCTACAACAATGGCAGCTCGAACAGCAAAGTAAACAAGAGAGATTACAGCAGTTGTTGAAGGAAAAAGAAAAGAAACAAGAAAATTGAGAAAAGAAACAAGAAGAAAGATTACAGCAGTGGCAAGAAAACCTACAACAATGGCAGCTCGAATAGCAAAATAAACAAGAGCGATTACAGCAGTTGTTGGAGGAAAAAGAGAAGAAACAAGAAGAACGAGAAAAGAAACAAGAAGAGAGACAACAGCAGTGGCAAGAAAACCTGCAACAGTGGCAACTCGAACAGCAACATAAACAAGAAGAGAGATTACAGCAGTGGCAACTGGAACAAGAAAGGAAACACGAAGAAAGTCAGCAGCAACTACAGGAAAGCCAACAACAGTGGCAAGAAGTACAAATGGAAAACATTAGTAAATTTAAAAACGAATTAGACACATTAAAGAATGATTTATTGTCTTTTACACAAAAAGAATACATTAACAGTCGACTTAACCAGCCCCAGACAATGACAAGCCCCTTCCAGACCATGCAGCTAAACACTAATGCAGACATATTCAGACCTGTTAGAAGTCACATCCCAGATATGAATGTCGGTAATAGGAGTGATCCAATAAGAAGGAAGCCACAGAAATTCGATGAGAAGGCTCCGTGGGAAGCATATAGAGCACAAATTTGAGCTACTGGCAGAAATGAATGGCTGGACACAGGAGCAGAAAGCAGTATATCTGGCAACGAGCTTGAAGGGACAACCACTGGAAATACTTGGACAGTTGTCAGCAGACGACAGACACAACTATAGAGCACTGGTGTCGGCTCTAGAACTCAGGTACAGAACCCAAAATCAGTCAGAAGTCAACAGTTTAGGACGAGAGTCCGTGCTAAGGGGGAGAGCCTGCAAGAGCTGGCACAGGACTTGGAAAGCATGGCACACAAGGCCT